TATAATTTTCTTCTCTTAAATTTTTATTCTAAATTTTATTTTTTTCGTTCGTTTGAGACTGAGACTGAAACCGAAACTCATCAAATCCTCCCAACAAATTAATATCAAATATTATTTTCAAAACACTTATAAAGTATTTTAAAATAACATGCAATGCACGTTCAATTCTGATTAGTAAAGATAATAAAAAAGAGGGAATTGTTTGGAAAACTAGATATTAAGTCAGAGATCAATGCACGATTAAATCAGAATTTCTTTGTCCATATTTCGTGTTTGTTAATGTGTAATTATGATGTTTACAAGCATTATTCACTAAATTATATTCATGGTCAATAACAAATTTATCTTTAATTGAATTCGACTGGATCAATGAACGATCATAAAGGGGTAACGTGTCGAGTTAGATCCAGCGTATGCTGGTGCAGTTTCTATTGAAGATTACGAAAACTAGGTCGCAAATGTATTGTTTAATAATCAGAGAAGAAATGCGGCCCCCTTTGTTTGTCCATTAAAAGTCAAATTGCATTCCTTTATCATTGGTTGGTGTAATAATTCGTCTTTTCTCCTATCTGATTAATACAATATGCATTTTCTTGCAGAGAGGATTAAAAAAGGGCGGTAAGGTTTGATTTGGTAGAAAAAGAAGGGTGTGAAAATAATAAAGAAATTTGTCCGATAATATATTGCCAGACAGTACCTAGTACCCACAAGAACGTCAACATCTTCATTTCCTGGAAGAACATCAAAATCTCAGATGGATAATCTTCTGGGACTTCTTAGAATTCGGGTCAAGAGAGGTGTAAATCTTGCTGTTCGAGATGTACGAAGTAGCGATCCTTACGTCGTTGCCAAAATGGGTAAACAGGTTGGTTTACATTTCTTGATAACTTTCATTTGAAGTTATTTGTGGCGATTGGGTTATTTGTTTATGTATATGTTGTTTATCCCGTGTCTTATCACATGGATTCCTATTTCGGACTTATGGATTGTAGTTGATTGTATTGGGTCTTTTGGGGTGCTTCTCTGGATTGTTCATGTGAGATTTCTAGAGAAACTCAATTGAGATTGTTTATGAGTGTGTCATGGTTATTAAAAAGTACACTACTGAATAGATAAAACGTTTAATATATATGTTAATGAAGTGATAAACAATGACCAAAATCAAATTAAGCTGCGAAGAGAGACATGGTAACTTGTGTGGTCTTAGAAGGATTGAGACGAGATACAGAAACACAAAACGTTGGAAAATTGCAGAGTTAGATAACATTGTTTTTAATCTTCGTTAGAGTGCTAGATATGTGCAAATGTTCCGCTTGGCCTTTTAGACTTCCCTCGTTGGTTCTCTAAGTGCTACTGTTTCCTCTCAGTCGAATCTTGATTTGCTTTCTTTTTCAGAAAACTAGAAACTAAGGGGCTGTTCTTTTTACCGTTTTCAGCCCATTTTTTGTTTTCGATTTTCCGAAACAGTGAAAACACGTCAACTTAGGGCTTGTTCTCTTTGCCGTTTTCAAGCCATTTTCTGTTTTCGATTTTTCAAAACAATGAAAACGCTTTCTCATTCCAATTTTGAAAACGCATTTTTGAAAACAAGTTTAAAATTTACAAAAAAAGTTTTTTAAGTTATAAGCCAAAATTTTCAAATTGCTTTTTCGTTGTTTTCAGTCACTATCACCCCCAACCACCACCTTTGCCGCCTATAAAACACCACCAACCGTTGCCGCTCCCCCAACATCACCCTAATCACTACCATCGCCGGAACCACCACCACAGCGACTACATCACCCCAACCAACACCACCGTCGCCAGAACCACCACCACAAATACCTCTACCACACAATACACCACCACCACCACACAACCGGCAGATCACCAACCACCACCACACAGTGCCACCACCATCATCAACACCAACCACGATCATCATCACCAACCACAACCCATGGTTGGGTTAGGTGCACCAGAGGGAGAGGAAGGTGGCCCATGTGGAACACGACCATGGGTTGAAAAGACGTCGCCGAAATCACAGATATCTTCGGATTACGCAAAACGGGATCGCTACCCTCATTTTGATTAATTGTTGTTTGGACTAAATTGAGGGCTGTTTTTGAGTCGTCGGAGGTAGGCAATCGACTGGTGGTGGTCCGCGATGAAGGCAGTGGCCGGAGGATGGGGTTCCAGCAGGTTACAGAGAGGAGGGAATGAGAGAGAGAGAGAGGGAGAGAGACGAGTGAGAAAATTCAGGGGAGAAAGTAAATGCAATTTGAGATTTTTTATTTTTCAAAACAATTTTTTAAAATGGCAAAAAGAACACGTTTTCAACAATCTCAAAATGAACACTCAAAATACAAAACTCAAAATGAACTCAAAACTAAAAACACAAAATTGAAACACGAAGAGAACATTCCCTTACTTATTTTCCAAAATGAATTTCCGAAAACGAGTTTAAAATTTACAAAGAAAATCGAAAACGACAAAAATGTCGTTTTGGGTGTTTTCAATTAAAATCAAGCCAAATTTTCAAAACGCGTTTCGAGTGTTTTCAAAATTCCACCGCCAACCACCACTGCACCACCGCGCCCACCACTGAACCACCGCGAACCACCACCGCACCACTGCGACCCAACCTTTCAAGAAAAACACCACTACACCACCGCCAACGAAAAAGGAAACCCACCACTGCCGTCGCCCCCCACTACAAAACCTACCCACCACCGTCGTCGCCCCCGCCGCCACACCACCACACCACCGCCAACAAAAAAAAAGTCAAAAAGACGAAGGACTGCAGCGTCATGCACGGTTGAGAGACCACCGCCAACCACCCGCTTCAAGCATGACACTGCACAGTCGATCAGGTCACCTCCAGCATCAACACTAAAAAGGCCGTTATAAGGGCAACGTCGCGGTGCTTTGTCTGTGGAGAGTTACCGGAGTGAGTGGGAAGATGAGAGAGAGAGGGTGGTGATGGAGGGTGTGACGGGTCTTCACACATGGTGGTGATGGTTGTTGACGGCGAGAACAGAGACGCGAGAGAGAGGGGAGGTTTTGGTTTTTTTTAATTTTGAATACTATTTTTCAAAATAATAAAAAGAACACATCTTCAACAAAGCCTAAAATGAATTCAAAAGCTCAAAACACAAAACCCAAAATGAATTCAAAAGCTCAAAACACAAAACTGAAACACGAAGATGAGTCTTGTTTAGATTTATGTCAACATTTTTCTTTTGTGCGAGCATGCAAAGAAGGCACATAGTTATAAGATCTTTGGGTGTTTCCTAATGTGTTTTTTAACAAAGGAGGTTTCATGTTCTTCCCGAAGCTTTTCATGGGATGGAGTGCAGATAAGGCTATGTTGTGTAAGGAATTATTTAGTTGCTGTAAAAGTTTACTATCCTTTAATTTCTTGCTTCTGATATATCCAAATCGAAATGGGTGCAAATGGAATTTTAAGTTTTTTGTTATTTTGTTTATGCAAAATTAAATTAGGACCGGTTCACTCTCTAATTTGTATTGAAACTCCACAATCAGTTGCTCCAAACCTTCGTGGCTGGCTAAGTAGTCACCTGAAAAGAAAACTTTTTTCAAGTCGTCAACTGCAAATTAAAAAAAAAAAAAAAGTTTGGTCGTAATTGGAAATTTTGCGTTAAAATAAAACCACAATAACACTTATGGTTGGATTGATTGGAAGCCACATATGAAGGAGAGTTATGGAAATTAATTTTGGTTCTGGGGTAACTTGATATTTACTCTCTTTTTTATTTGTAGCTTGTAGTGGGTCTACTGAAAGAGTTGAAATTTTGATCATATAAATAACTTGTTCATATGATTTACTTTTACAACTGATAAAGAGGGCTTTCTAGCCAAGCTAATCCTGTGAGGGGACTTTTCTGAATTCACTCACTAGTTTGTTTAGGCGATGGGAGAAGACTGAGGTTCTAGGGGGATGTTTGGAGAATTGGAGTAAATGAGATTTCCCTGAAGGAGTTTATTAAATTATTCAGAATTTTGTTTAACTGGCTTTCTTTTGTAATTGAGATTGAGGTCATGGGGAATATCGAGTTTAGAAGGACGCCCATGTTTGGAGTACTCAGCCTTTACCGGCATTTCCTTTAAATTTGCAATCAAATAGTTCACAGGTTTGGATGAAGATAGATTGGTATTGGGAGATAACTCCACTGGTATCTACACTGTTAAACTTCTAAATTTTAAATTTTGGGTGATAATTAAATTTTTTACCCTTGGAAAGCTAAGTAAAGAAATGAAACTCCTAGAAACATGTTTTCATTGTATTGACTGCTCTGAGAGTGGCCCTCCTTATCTTTCTTTTGTTTTGGTCTTGTCAAACCACCCCCTCTTGTTTGAATTTTTAGATGGATTGTTTTGGGGAACATCAGTTTCTTGTGCTTCTTGTTTGTATATGTACTTTGTTTAATGAAATTTTCGATTGATAGAAAAAAGTTTCAAGGACAAGTTGCAACTATTTGAAATTTCCATGATGGGTTAACTATTGTCATAATAATGATATGATATTGTTGTTTTCATAAGGGTTGCCCATTGCCATTGGTTAACAATATGCTAGTCAGATTGATTTTAGCATGATCTAACGATTATCTATGCTAACTTGCAAAGAGATGCATTCAACCTCTTTATTTCTCCCGAAAATTCCTGACACTTGCTCCTAGCATGCTGTCCAATAATGCCTAAGTAAAGAAAATCATATTGTCCTTTCGTTGTGTGTGTCAATTATTTTTGATGTAATATCGAATTGGATGAGCTTTTGTGCTTATACTTATGTTTGGTACAAGTTACTAAATACAACTAAACAGTAGAGGTTTAATGGACAGATTTTAAACTCTTTTTCCTGCTTATTGCCGTCTAGGACTTTCTAATCCAACTCACCAAATAATCTATAGCTGGGTCTTCTGTTTGAAAGATGGGGAAAATAATTGGGTAACAAGGGTCTGTGTAGGACACCAGATGGGTGGTGGACTCAGGCATAAAAGAAGCCAGGAAGATGACATGGGCAATTAGCAATGAGGAATGGGGAACAGAAACTTTTCAGTTTTTCGAGACTTGGAAATATGAATTCAAGTTAGAAATTTGTTTGATTATGTACAATAAGTGGTTTCTAACCGCCCACCAGTTGATATGTGATTTGAAGTTCAGGGCCTTGTGGAATTAGTCGAGGTACGCGCAAGCTGACCAGACATCCACGATTATAAAAAAAAAATATGTGGTTTGAAGTCTGAATTTGCTGACAGTAAGTATCAACTGCAAATAAGCTATGACTTGACCCTGGAAAACCATTTGCCTAAAGATATGCAGGATAACGAAATTTCCGAAAAGCGCTAAAATACCGAAACAGGGAGATAAATAAATATTAACTGATATTAAAAATGTTTGGAACTACTTTTGCATGTTCTAAGCATATGAAAATTCAAGTGGGTACTAGCGTAGAAGCTTGAGCTATAAAACGCATTATCTGTAGCTTGTATTAAATTGTATGGTTGCTGCCAGTGCCAGCTATCTTCCATACCTACTCTTTATTTTTTGGCTGCCAATTGGAACTATCTACTTGTGAATTTCCTATGTTTTTGTGAACAGGTAATCTGATATTTTCCATTTCTGCTCAGATATAATGCAGAAACTGACATTGTTCATGACTTGGAGACGAGTTCACCTTAAGTTTAGCCCCTGTATGGTTTGGATAAAAATTAGATTTTTAGTAGATTTTGATAAAATTTGTGAAATATTTGGTTGAAATGTTGATAAAAGTTGTGGGTCCCTTTAAATGTGCGGTTGAAAATAAGTTTGGGAAAAATGGATTTTAAGAAATGGGGCAAACAGGAGCTTAGTCACCTCTGGCTAGGCGGTCCTTCTCACATTGCTGATAGCTTAAATGTAAAATAGGCAATATGAAAGGCCTGCCAGCATTCAGATCCAAATTTTCATCTTGTTATTATAATATTTTACTTCTTGAAAGCACCTTATAAGCTTTGCCTTATTGATTTTGCTGTTTCATGCAGAAATTGAAGACTAGTGTTATAAGAAAGGATGTAAATCCTGAATGGAATGAGGATTTGACGCTTTCTGTTGCAGATCCTAATCTTCCAATCAAGCTGGTAGGGTTCATTGGCATTTAACTTGGGCAAATGCTAAATAACACGATTTAGAAGAATTTATTCGATTATTTCAGATTTCTGTCTTTATATCTTCTAGTAATTTGTTTAGCCAAGTTTCTTTCTAAAATAAAACTTACAGCTTTGAATAGCTAAACAATCTTTATAATATCGTGGCATTGGATTTTCAGCATCCTTTTCCTGGATATTGAGCACTCTGATGTGTATTCTTATCCCCGCGTATGATTTCAGACTGTGTACGACCACGACACGTTCACCAAGGATGACAAAATGGGAGATGCAGAAATTGACATCAAACCGTTTGTAGAAGTCTTGAGAATGAAATTAGACAACCTCCCCAGTGGTACTATACTTAAAAGAATACAACCGTGCAGGTCGAATGGCCTTGCTGAAGAGAGTTGCATTATCTGGAAGGACGAGAAGGTGATGCAAGATATGTGCTTGAGATTGAGAAATGTGGAGTGTGGTGAAGTGGAAATTCAGCTTGGGTGGATTGCTCTCCCTGGCTCGAGATGTATATAGAATGCAAGAAATGTCTATTCTGGTACTGTTTTTTTGTAACTTACAATGCTGTAGTAATATTTGCTGTCTGTTTGAGTTTTGTGGTGAGATTTGTTTAATATGACCTAGTTTGCTAAATACACCTCGTACTTCTCTGAATTTGTTGACAAGGTTTGTGTTACAATGAATGACCAAATTGCCAAAATTTTAGCCTCTCGCCTTCAATGACTCCCATTTACCTGCCTCTACGACTAGTCATTCCGAAGAAAATTATATCAGTATCTCTGATGCTGCTGTTATTAATTGGGCAATGGCAAGAATAAATAAGCTACTGGCCACTTAAAGAAAAAGAACAGCAAAACTTTTGCTTTTCACTTCTTGCTAGTTGCTAGAATGGAAAGAAATATGATATACTTTGTAAAGTGGGCTATTTATTGCCGATGACTGAACTAAGTTTATAGAAAAATCTGCCACTTTCAGAAAGAAGTAGAACAATTCTAAAGACAGGGAAAAACAAATAACAAACTAGAGACTCACTTAAACTCATGACCCAGTCTCAAAGATAAATTTCCAACTTCGCCAACATAGTTGAAAAAATTCATGTAACAAATCACTCCGTTAATCAAAAGTTTGAATCTTTATAATCACGTTATTGATGATGACGATTCTGCTAAGACATAACCGATGAAAAAGGGAAAATATGCCTCCAATCTAGTTGGAATCTTGGAGAAAAACAATGGTATACTCGTTTCTTGCTATCGTGGTTACCTGAAACCATGAAGGAAGGCCCACGGAACTTCATTTTCGAATCAAAGAGTAGTAACTCAAATCCACAACTTCGGCGTATATCATCATCTAACCATTGATGAGAAACCATCATATGTGATCGTCGATGACAATAGGCAATGCAACTCGGAATGCACTTTTTCAACAGTGGTCTCATCAGTGGCCTAACGTGGAACTCTTGTTCATGAAAAGGTAGCCATATTTACTTTTGTTACTAGTTATGTTCCATTGACTTCTCAACCAACAAACGCCTTCATCAAGCCATTGCTAATTATGGAGTCCTTCACGATTTGAAGCAAGCTGGGAGTCCATGATCATTCCCTCTTCAACTTGAGGAGCATGTTAATGAATATAATTCAAATGACTACAATCATGGGATTACTTCACAGAATAAGAAATCAAGAATAAACTCAAGCCAAAGATAATGAGATTATTACAAATTAGTTGTCACACGTTTAGCTTTCCTAAGTGTGATTTATCAAATTCTACTAAAAATTCGATTTGAATCATTTCTTTTTTACCTATAGTGTTTACCATTTTCTGTGTCGAATCATAGAAGTCTTGTTCTATAAGCATGTATATTATTTGACGAATAAACATAACACTTCTCACCGTTACATTTTTTCATAACAATACGCCCATGGCCACAGGACGCACAGATAATTTCATTCCATGCCAAAAACTTTGACCCTAATGGCAAATAGACACTACCTATGTATATGGTTGGTACATAATATCAAAATATATGAAATAATACAAAAAATAATAATAATAATTATCTCGTATTAATATTGTTCAGTACATAGGATTATATGTATATATTTGGTATCATCTGATCATAATTAATGGAATGCAAGAGGGAGAGATGTATGGATAAAGCAACTTGTGACATCATCCTTGCCGACAAGATTTGATTGGTGAAAAAATTATTTTTTTATACAGTCCAATAATGTGTTGTCACGTGACACGATGTAAAAAATAATGTACGTGTAGAATGATTGGAGATATATATCTTCGGAGTGAGTGGGGACACAATAATCGGTAAAGGAAGACATGAATTTATTAGAATGCATGCATGCATGCAGACAAGATTCCAAAAGGGGACACAGTACTTTTGTTGGCACGTAAAGGTGTTTATTAGATCCTCTTCCCTCTTCTCTCGGATCATATTCGTATAAAAGGACAATAATAAATGTATAAGATAATACATTTACTCCACTGTACATGTATGCTCGGGTTGGGTAAATATATATACGTACAGGTCTGTGTGTAATTTTAATTTAGCTGGAAAAAGGTTGCGTATGACTTGTTTCACTATATCCTTAAAAGTTACTTTTTAGGTTTGTAAATGATGTCTCTGTTGTTTCATTTTTTTTAACTAAAAAATTATGGGTTGTGCTACTTGTACATTATGTTATCCATAATGAATGACATAATGTACAAGTGGCAGTACATTATTGGTGGGTGTGCTGGCCCACCGACACACCCTCCAATAGGATAATTCCACTTGTACATTATGTCATCCATTATGGATGGCATAATATACAAGTAGAATTATCCAAAAATTATACAAGTGGCAGTACATTATTGGACGGTGTGCCGACCCACCAGCACACCCTCCAATAATGTAGTGCCACTTGTACATTATGTCATCCATTATGGATGGCATAATATACAAGTAGAATTATCCAAAAATTATTTTTCAAAAAATGAATAGTTGTTAATATGTTTCAAACCATTTTTAGATTAACTCCAAAAGAATCTCTAAAAAAAATATTCTTTATTTTAAAAAGTTAATGTTTAAAAATAAACTCCAAGAATTTCATTCTTAATAGAGAGCGAGTTTGATTCTTTAGATCTAGAGAACCAAACTCAATCTTCATTCTTAATGTACAATAATTTCATTTAATAAATCACAAATTTTAATACTATACTTTGAATTTCAATACTTTACCTTTAAAACTATTCAAACAATGGATTGACTCGTCATTGACATATAAAAAATTAGGATTAATAGTAGACAATCCCTTAGAAACGCTTTCAAGTGCGATATACACATACTTATTGAAAATTGTAAAAAATCCCCATGTCTAAAACATTTTGTGCGAAAAACCCCTTTACCGTCAAGATCCATTAGATTTACCATTAAAAACAGTAAAAAAAAATGTCAAAATTAAAAAGAATAATTGCAATTTCAGTATCCAAAACTTTTTATTTTTTTACAAATTAAATACAATTTTTTTTATGCACTACATACAATCTCAAATCTTTCAAACTTTATTTTCCACCTCCCTCCCCACTTCATCTTCTTCCTCAAGAAAAGAGGCGATCATCAATCCTTTTAATTTTGTGCAGCTCTTATATTTTTTGTACATTGTGCAATAAGAGATTTTATTTAGACTACATATTTGCAACTAACGACATTCATTGTGAGACGTCTGAAGATTGATAAACCCATTATAGCCGCCAACTATTGAGACTCAAAACACCACCTTTCAGCCACCAAGGCCACTATCACCACCAGCCTCTCCGCACTCCCCCTTGCAACTTCAATTCCATCGTGATCATAAAATCTATCGAAAACAGCTACAATTTCAAGCCAAAATAGCAAACTGGCGAACGCTTTTCTAGTTGGCAATCCTACTTCCTGGGACACCATGGGCGGACCTAGGGGGGTCCTGGGGGGCCAAATGCCCCCCCCCCCCTCCCCCAAGCTTTTGAGATTTTTTTTATTTATTTATAAAATCATATTTGGTATCGATTGAAATCTAAATTTTAATCTAAATTAAAATTAACAATTAATTTTAATAACATATTTCATGGAATCCATAACTGTTTAACTTTTATTAAAATTTACTAAAAATTCGATTTTAATCTCTACCAAATATGGGCAAAATCACAATAAATTTGAATTTTGATAATATGCTAATTTTAAAAATTCTTCGACGATCATACGCTAATCGAATCTACAAATTACTTATATTATCTCAAAACTTATTTAAAGAACTAAATTATGGATATATCGAATAGTCCAAACAAATATCGTAAATAGTTAAAAATACGTTAAACGTGAGTCTTAAAAAAGACGTCTAATTCACATTTTAAAAATTCAATTATTTCATTAACATTTATTATTTTTGCGATACAAATTTCTCAATATAATTTTCATCATTTTATTAGGAAATTTTATATGAAATATAATATCAAAAATTTTCGAAATTTTACATCCGAAAAAGTTATATCCCATGTAAATTTTCGGATGCAAAATTACACGGGGTATGATTTTTTTGGATGTAAATTTTTGATTGTAAAATTTCAACCAACTTTTTTTGTAAGTTCGATAGTGAATCTTAAAAAAGACGTCTAACTCACTTTTTTTTAAAAATTCAATTATTTCATTAATATTTATTATTTTTGCGATACAAATTTCTCAATATAATTTTCATCATTTTATTAGGAAATTTTATATGAAATATAATATCAAAAATTTTCGAAATTTTACATCCGAAAAAGTCATATCCCATGTAAATTTTCGGATGTACAATTACACAGTGTATGATATTTTTGGACGTAAATTTTCGATTGTAAAATTTCTCCTACTTTCTTTGTAAATTCGATTGTGCCTCCTAACTTTTAAGATTTGCTTCCGCCCCTGAGGGACACCCATGGTCGAGTATCACCACCAACGGTTAGCCCTAATCTAGACGTCCTAAACATGTCCTAACATCAACCTAAAAATTTTATATCCTATGAATATTCATATACCCGAAATTAAGTAAAAAAAAAAAAAAAAGAGGATGGAATTAAATCAAATCCGAGCAACAAAACTTCACACCAAAAAAACTAAAATAAAACAATTATTATGCTTTGAGTAAAAGTAATTTCCTTCAAACAGATCTTGATTCAGTGATTGTCAAGCTTGCACTTGAATTAGACGCGCTGTTGTGATTGAATTTCCGATGGGAAGTATTCTTCAAACAGTCACTTGATAATCTTGATTCTTGGATCAAGCTTGCACTTGACACCGGTGGTTTTCGCCACCAGGCTGCTATTCCAGTGGGGACTGAAATTTTAAGTCCATCACAAGTGACACTAATTCTGAGCTTTTATGTTTCACTTTTCTGACTTTCACTTTTACCTCGATATCCAACTGGATTTTGAGTAGCACATATAAAAAAAAATTGAATTTATTTTGTTAAAAAATAAAGAATTTGGGTACTAAAATTATAATTATTATTTTTAATTTTGGCATTGTTTTGCTATTTTTAACGGTAAAACTGATGGGGTTTTTCACACAAAATGTTTCAAACCTGGAATTTTTTGCGACTTTCAATAGGTAGAGGTATATCGAACATAAGAACATTTGTAAAGGGTTTTTTTTGCTTTTAATCAAAAAAATTATATTAAATAAAATATGAGGAGAAATAAATAAATGTTTCTTAAGAAAAGTAAAATGAATCGCCAATATAGAGAGGATTATTGGAGTACATAAAAATTTTGACACTTTAAATTTAAAGACATTTTCTATAATACATAACATGTTCTTTATAGGATTAATAGCACAAAGCCTCTTACAAACGTTTTTATTTGCGATATTCCTCTACCTATTGAAAATAGCAAAAAAAAAAAAAAAAAA